AAAAAAAAAAAAAAAAAAAAAAAAAAAAAAAAAAAAAAAAAAAAAAAAAAAAAAAAAAGAGCCAGCCCGTCTGACAGATCGCTTTAACTTTCCCTTTTAGAAGTCGTAAATTGAATACGCAGCTGGAGAACGCCATCCAGGAGGCGATGGCCGAGCTCGACTCTAAGCCGAAGCAGCGTTCTCAGCAACAGCCGGTACAGCAGCACCAACCGAAGCATCTGCAGCCGAGGCAGCAGCCGGAGGTGGTAGTCAAAACGAGGCCGAGGGAGAGGCTGATAGCGCCCTTGCCGGCTGGCGCTACGAATCCCCAGCATCAGCTGCAGACCGCGCAGCGGATGATCGGGCTCAGAAAGACGCCTGGCAGGAAGGTGCCCCAGGTGGCCCTGGTGGCTCTTGCGCCCGCCACTCGACAAAACGCCAGCTAGGACGCTCCACGATTCATCCTGATGTTCTCTTGTCACCGTCGTCGTCCTCGTTATTGTTGTTACATGTTTTGTGTTTGTTTGTTTTATTACTTGTTACAAGCGTTTTTTATCGGAGCATTTATTTATTTATTATTATTATTATTATTATTATTATCATTACTATTACGTACATGTATATATTTTCTCAATATTGGAAAAATTACATTTTTTTTATTAGAAATTTTTCCGATGCATTGACGGATGAGTTATCGGTTTGGTGGAATTGAAATTTTTTCACTCGTCAAAGGTAAAGATATCGAGCCTGTGAATTTTTTTTTTTCGTTTGAATTTTCAATTGCCATTGTTGTTCAGAGTATACTTTCATTGTGAAGCTGCGATCTCTTCCGTGGATACCAAAATTGTACCTAATTTAAATCCAAACAAATTATATTTATTTATTAGCTTTAAATTCAAAAAACTACTCCGTTTGCTCCGACTAAACGCAGTTCCTTGACCCGGTGGTACGTCAATTTCTATTTCTACTGAAAGTAGACTAAAATTGATATATAATGTGTGTATATAATTGGGCCTAAAAGCATTCGCTTGATGGAGAACAAAAAAAGTGAGAAAACAAAAGATAGTCACTTTTGTTCTTTTTAGTTTTTAAGCAAACAAATTTGTAGATCGAAAAAGAAAGGGCCATTTCATAAAAAAAAAAAAAAAAAAAAAAAAGTTAAGGAAGGCCGTGGATCGATAATAAATACCATTGTACAGAAAAGCATTAAAAAAAAAAGTTAATAAGGAGAGAAAAAGACGAACGGTGACGACGATTTCTCAAACGCTTGCTTGTACATAGACTTTTTGTTTGTCTATTCGCGCTGAGAAAAAATTATTAGATAAATAGTGCCATAAAGCTCCTTTGTACACGATAATTTCTTCTGGTATTATATGTTTACGTATCTTACGTAAATGTATACAGGCTTTTATAAAAACTAATTTAGTTTTTTTTTTCATTTTAATTTTTTAATTATTTGTTTGTATGGTTGGTAGACATTTTAGTCTATAACTTAATGGCTATGTTATTTTGAATATTTTAAGATTTTTCGTTAGAACATGATTTGTATGTATCTTTTATGTCGGCATTGTTTTTTACAAAGATGATTTTTTCAATACCTAAATATAAACAAATGTAGGAAAATATGTACAGTTGATTTGTTCTACTGAAATTTTGGAATAAATCAATAAGGATATTTTATAAATTGAATATTTTTGTAGTTTATATTCTAAAGGAATCTCGATTTCACTTTACTATTTGTTCTTTCTTATGATATTTAAACAACAAATTAATTTTAATAAAATAAAAAAAAAAAAACACGCTTCAATATAAAACATTTTTTATTTATTTTAATAATTTATTTACCTTGTATAGTATTCACTTGAAGATTAAAACAACTTAATCAAGACCTATAAATTGGTTCAATTGGTTTCAAAGACAACAGTTTTATTTTACGATATATAATAGTTATGATGCATTGGTGTATATAAATATGAAAATGTGTACATCATTTATCTATAATTTTCTCTCTGTGCATCCATCCATTTTATTTTCGATTACAGAATTGATAAAATTGCAAAAAGAACAAGAAAAGCAAAGGCTGTAAGCTATCAAAAATTTTAATCAAAATATAGTAATGGGTAAACGTTTTCTTTTTGAATGATGTATAAATATATGTATAAATTAAATAAAATACAATCAAACTGATATTTTATCAAAATACGTGTAAATTAGTAACATAAATGCATTTTGGGCATCGATAAAAAAAAAAAAAAAAAAA